GAGACTTCGGTGCATACATCTATATAAGAATTATAACCCTAGTGTGGTCACCCAGGTGGTGAGATCTTTGAGTTTTTGGCACACCATATCTAGGATAAGTACGGATAATTCCATTTTGCGGTTCCCAAATATTTCGTTTTTCCACATTGGAATCAAGTTATGAGTGACTTTTAATGGTATCCTAAGGGTTCATTTTACGATAGCTCTCCATCGAATTTTGGCCCATATCCGTACCCCCCCTACAGGGATGACCAAAATACCTCTTCGCCATCTCCGTTGAGGAGTACCGGTATAACCCGAAAAGGACTGGAAAGATTTTTTTAACAAAGTTTTCATGAAATATCGACAATACACACTGTTAGGCATGCACCGAACCCGGGACCAGACCGGCATTCCCGGGTTCGGTCATTCCAGGGGTACTCTTGGGCCTTCAAAAACTTCTATAGGGAGGTACCCTTGAATCCTCAAGGTCTAGTATCGGGAGTACCCTTGGGTCCTCAAATCGTGCTTTATTAATGTTTGCCCAGGTAACACGAAAGAACAGAGCTCCTGGCACCTGACTGACCGGAAAATGTATCAATCAGATTGCAGAATCATATTTCTGGGTTATATATAGGGTGGAGCCCCACAATACATCGCTCATTCGATAGAGATTCCTCGATAACTCTAATATCAAACCGAACATGACTGGTCGTGGTCCGTGCAATAAGAAAGACAAGGCCTTCTAAATTTCCATTGGTTGAAAAAAGGATCAATCAGATTCCGAAATTCAATTTCTCAGTGATATATAGGACGGAACCCTACACATAAACCCCTCATTCGATAGGGCGTTCCCGATAACCATAGGTTTGACCCGAACATGATTAGTAGCTGTCTTTAAAAGAGGAAAAAAAAATCTTGGTGAAATCTGATTGGTCAGAAAGCGGTCCAATGGGATTTCAGGAGGGCTTTTCTGTCTTATTGTCAGGGCAACTGCTTGTCATGTTCGAACCGATCGAACGGTTATCGAGGACGCTCTGTCGAATGAGAAGGATGTATTTGAGGCTCTGACCTATATATCAACGAGCAATACAAACTCGTAATCTGATTGATCCATTTTTCGACTAGTAAGGTTTCAGGAGACCTGTTCTTACGTGTTACCTGGACAAACACCAGTATAGTAGACTTCAGAACCGAGAGATATCTCCAATAGTAGGTCTTGAGGGCCCACGAGTACCCCGTTCAGTAAGACTTGAGTATCCAAGGATACCCTGGGAACAACCGAAACCCGGGGATGATCGAACCGCGGGAGTGGCAAAACTCGGGAAGTTCGAGTTCGGTGGATGCGTACACACTGTCCAGGTTAAATATAAAGTCTCAAAGAAATTTCGTCCATTTATAGCTCGTCGATCATAGCACGTCAGTTGGTAATGATAGTTGTCAAAATTAATTCAGAAACTTCGCATATTTCTAGTTTGGTATTGCATTTCCATGTTCAGTAAGAGTAAAACAGAACAGCTTTCGAAGAATTTCTGTGTGCTATGTTTGACTATCCTAAAGTGTGGAAAGGATAATGAGCGTTGCTTTTTATGATGTTCCTAACGATTTAAATCGGGAATTCGTTCAGTACTTGACAAAATCAAAACAGAAAGATTCCATGAGCATTGGTATACATCATGTGGAATTGCATCAATCGATATTTTTATGCAAAAATTATCCTGCTATTCTTATCTGATATTGTTTAAGTTCATTTTGTCGTTACATATCCTATTTATTATTATTTGGTTAGTTTATTAAATAAATTTGAAATCGATTCCACTTATTCAATGCGTATCCATGACACTATAGCCAAGAAACTATTGGCGAATTTTTTTAGAATGGCAGCCATAACTTTTTGAATAACTCTTCACTATTGATAGCTATCGAGTTCAGATTTTAGCCATTCGATAGAGCGGCGCGGGGGCGTCTATCTACATGAGATTCATTAGAACCAAAGAAGTTTTTTATGGTATATATTTAATTGATAAGAGTTTTCGTTACCAATTTTCATTAGTTTTCATAGAGACTTAGGCTTAAATCACATCAAAATGTAGCCCGAAGGGTACTGTATCTGTGATAAAATTTTCAGCCCTTTCTGTCATTGTCTCGAACACGATTGTTCGTTAAAATCCTGAGACTTTAACGCAAATTCAGGACCCTTCGAGCTACATTTTGGTGTGATTTAAGCCTAAGTCTCTATGAAAACTAATGAAAATTGGTAACGAAAACTCTTATCAATTAAATATATACTATAAAAAACTTCTTTGGTTCTAATGAATCTCATGTAGATAGACGCTCCCGCGCCGCTCTATCGAATAGCTAAAATCTAAACTAGATAGCTATCAATAGTGAAGAGTTATTCAAAAAATGGTGGCTGGCATTTTTAAAAAAATACGACAATAATTAGGGATGAATCAAGAGATATTTGTGTAAAAGGATGAGATGATTATTGCACAATTGCTCTCATTCTTGTTGTCTTTTAGATATTGAATAGTATGGAACACACATGTTCTGATCCCATCGTTCCCGCTCACGGCCCGGGCTCCATCGACTGTCAAACGGAAAATAGCGACCGTGAGCGGATGCCACTCAACGGAGGCAAACACGTGATGCTGTCTTATAATTGGAACAGTCAAGCTATTGTATCCAAAATATACCGAATTCTAAAAGATGAGAATATTCCAATTTGGTTTGATATACAAGGAGACATGAAACATAATGTATACGAAAGGTATGGATGTTAACACTAATGTTCCTTGTCTTAACGTTATAATTGCACTTCACTTTTGCTTAGTATGGCTGAAGGAATTGAAAATGCTGCAGTCGTCTGTTGTTTCATGACACCGGATTATCAGAAATCTGAGAATTGCAAACTCGAATTACAGTATGCAAAAAAACGAGGCAAGCACATCATTCCATGTATGCTTGGTGATAAAGCGTGGAAGCCCTCCAGTTGGCTGGGATTGATAACAGGGGGAGAACAATATATAAACTTCCGAGATGACTCTGAAGAGAACATTCATTTGAAAGCAAGACAGCTCATTGATCGAATAAAGGCACAACCTTCAACATCACAATCAGTCGATGAACCAAGTTATCTATTCGAACTAATTAGACTCGAATATAAACGAAACAGTCGTATCGAACGAATTATGAATCCGGCAAAATCTGTTTCAATCGAACAAAGTTACATTAACTTAGCCATAGTTGAAATCAAAGAGCAACAAGAAACGGAAAAGAAGCTTCGCGATGCTCAGCACAATGATGCAATCATCGGTACATTTGAACAGATCTACGGCATGAAGACCGTAGTAGACGTCAAGGATATTTTTAACAAATGCAAGGATCAAACAAAGAACGTGCTCGTACTTGGACGAGCTGGAATTGGAAAATCAACATTTTGCCAATATGTTGCTTACAAATGGGCCACAGGCGCACTTTGGTCTCAATATGATCTACTTGTTTTAATTCCCTTACGTTCCTTAACAGAGAGTCGCTACCCTCCATTGGCACCCGGGACGAGCTACACTTTATTTGACCTGGTGAAAAAAGAATATTTCGTTCATGGTCTTTCTGAGACAGATGACAGACTCTTGAGAGAGCAGTTTGGTAAAAGTCAAGTACTATGGCTTTTAGATGGCTATGATGAAATTGTGCAAAATGTGCCAGGACATCTGCAATATTTATTCGAACAATTACTTAAGACTTCACATCATATCGTCACATCTCGTCCCTACTTGAATAGGTTATCGTACACGGTGCAACTGGAAATTACAGGCTTTACAGATGATAATATTGCGGAATATGTCAAGCAGTTCTTCGATCAAACTGAAGATGCAACATACCATTCCATATCCGCAGGCGAAAAATTACTAAGCTTTTTAAAATTGAATCCCAGCATCTGGGGTGTCGCACATATTCCAATCAATCTAGAATTAATATGCAGTCTTTGGAGTGACACTGATTGGTCCGAAAGAAAAACACTGACAATGACAGCACTGTATGATAGCATTATAGAATGGCTATGTCGACGATATTTGACAAAACAAAATACCGATATTCAAATGACTAAAGAGGATATTTATGCAGATTGCCATAAGGAATTGGCATTCTTGGAAACGTTGGCGTTTAAAGGAATGGAAAACAACACTATAATTCTACGAAAAGAATTGCTGCAAAAAGTTTTGAAAGAGACTGAGTACTCGTCAAAGCACTACGCCCGCTTACTCAATATTGGTATTCTAAAATCGATAAACGTTCAATCAATTGGTAATCAAATCGAAGTACAAAAAGATCATTATTTTATTCATCTCAGCTTTCAAGAACATTTTGCAGCACGATACTTGGTGAAAGCTCTCAACGGGCCAGGACGTCAAGCAGCCATTGAGTTTATCAAAAGTCACAAGTACAACCAACGTTTTCAATTAGTGTTTATCTTTACATCCGGTCTTCTCATTCAGACTAATCCTGAATCATGCACTGACACATTTTGGGACATAATACTAGGGGAGCCATTGGATTTGGTTGGTTTAAGACACATACAACTAATTATTTCTTGCATGGAAGAGACTACTAGTAGCTCAAGTTTTCGTCGACGTACCGAGTTGATGGATTCTATAACAAAGGGCATAATAATTGCTGTATCCATGAAGCACGATATTATTTACAAACAGCTTAAAGAATCATTGCGAAGGAGTGCTTCATTAGTACATGACTCAACAATACAAGACACACTGATCACGCTGCTCGAAAGCGAAGACACGGACACGAAAAACAAAGTACTTTCATTGATTTCACAACTATCGATTTCCAATCCGTCATCTCAGCTCATTCATCTACTACTCATTCATCTTGGCGATGAGCAATGGCATATCAGACAGCGAGCATGTGAAGCTCTCGAGAAAATGGGTGAAAACGCAGCAACCGATGAAGTGATGAATAGGCTGGTGACTGCACTTGGAGATGAGAGTCATCATGTCAGAATGAGTGTATGTGATACATTGAGGAAAATGGGTGAAAAAACAGCAACCAATGATGTTATGAATAGACTTATTGCTACACTTGGGGATGAGAATGAGTATGTCAGACGGAAAGCATGTGAAGTTCTGGGGGCAATGGGTGAAAAAGCAGCAACCGATGATGTTATGAATAAGCTGGTGACTGCACTTGAAGATAAGAGTGTGGATGTCAGATGGAGGGCATGTGAAGCTCTCGGAAAAATGGGTGAAAAAGCAGCAACCAATGATGTTATGAATAGACTGGTGATTGCACTTGGAGATGAGGATGGAAATGTAAAACGGAGAGCATCTGAAGCTCTCGAGAAAATGGGTGAAAAAGCAGCAACCAATGATGTTATGAATAGGCTGGTAACTGCACTTGGACATGAGGATGTGAATGTCAAACGGAGTGCATGTGTAGCTCTGGGAGAAATGGGTGAAAAAGCAGCGACCAATGATGTTATGAATAGGTTGATGACTGCACTTGGGGACGAGAATGGGATTGTAAGAGAGAATGCATGCAAAGCTCTTGAGAAAATGGGTGAAAAAGCAGCAACTAATGACGTGATCAATAGATTGATGACTGCACTTGGGGATGAGAATGGGAATGTCAGGTGGCGTGCATGTCAAGCTCTCAGAAAAATGGGTGACAAAGCACCAACCAATGGCGTGATCAATGGGCTGGTGACTGCACTTAGGCATGAGCATTGGAATATCAGACAGAATGCATGCACAGCTCTCGGAGAAATGGGTGAAAAAGCAGCAACCAATGAAGTGATCACGGGGCTGGTGAATGCACTTGGGGATGAGTATGGAAATGTTCAAGAAGCTGCATGCAAAACTCTCGGGGAAATGGGTGAAAAAGTGGCAACCAATGACGTGATCAATGGGTTGGTCACTGCACTTGGCAATGTGTGGCCGGATGTCAGAGAGAGTGCACGGAAAGCTCTTGGGAAAATGGGTGAAAAAGCAGAAACCAATGATGTTATGCATAGATTGGTGACTGCACTTGGGGATGAGCATGTGAATGTCAGATCCATGGCATGCCGAGCTCTCGGGGAAATGAGTGGAAAAGCACCAACAAATGACGTGATCAACAGACTGGTGACTGTACTTGGGGACGAGAATGTGTATGTGAGAGGGTGCGTATGTGAAGTTCTCGGAGAAATGGGTGAAAAAGCAGCAACCAATGATGTTATGAATAGACTTATTGCTGCACTTGGGGATGAGAATGAGTATGTCAGACAGAAAGCTTGTGAAGCTTTGGGAGAAATGAGTGAAAAAGCAGCAACTATTGACGTGATCACTAAGCTGGTGACTGCACTTGGAGATGAGGATTGGAATGTCAAAATGAGCGCATGTGATGCTTTGGGGAAAATGGGTGACAAAGCAGCAACCAATAACGTGATCAATGGGTTGGTGACTGCACTTGGGAATACGATTGGGCATGTCAGACGGACAGCATGTGAAGCTCTCGGAAAAATTGGCGAAAAAGCACCAAACAATGACGTGATCAATGGGCTAGTGACTGCACTTTGGGATGCGGATATGTCAGTCAGAGAGAGTGCATGTCAAGTTCTCGGGAAAATGGGTGAAAAAGCAGCAACTAATGATGTGATCAACGGATTATTGAATGCACGTCGTCGTGTTTTCGGGTATAGTAGTGCCAATGGAACACTTGAAAAGATTCTTCTTTCGTTCTCAGCATTAACACAATTATCCTCCGATACAGTTTCGAAACTTTTTGAAAATATGAAGGAAGGTCAGTTGGGTGCCTTGAGAACTGTTCCTCCAGATCAATTTGTGAAGGTGTTTCTGCATACAAAAAGTACTGTATGGCTTCCTGTGGTGACCATCGTTGCACTTCTGCAGGGAAATGCGGTTACCGTTACTGGCAACACTATTGTGGTGTATGGCAGTCAAGAATCAGTACAGGTACCCGTTCCTAATGAAGAACTACGTAGAGCATTAGTTGAAGCTTTTGCTCATCAGACATTAGAACTTGAGTCATCTTCAGCGCTTTTGGCAAAATCGAAAGTGGTGTCTTCCGTATGCGTTCTAATGTAGTAGTTTTGATCGAGTTTTATACGTGTGATGGTAAATGTGTTTTTGCATGAGTATGTAATGTAAACTGCAGACTTTTTATTGCCTGATTGTGAGGTGCTATTATTTGGTATCCTTTCTTTGATGATGAAGTTCGAAGGCAACTATAGAAAGAGAACAAGGAATTACTGCGGATCAGTATGAGTCGAATCCACATCAGCCTGCCACAGCTCGGTATGCGTGACATCTTGAAGGTGAGGGTGAGTTCGAGTTGCCATTATCGCAATTTCGACTCTTCTGATGACGAAGTATTATCAACATTATTATAACATGGAAAGTTTTGATTGTACTAATTTTTGTGTACTCAAAAAGTGAGTACACTATAGAATTAGTCAGTGTGTCCGGCCGTTTACACGATAACTCTCGAAAATATGAACCGATTGTCATGAAACTTTCTGCATAGAATTGTCTCATTGATATCTCAGTCGAATTCTAATATGAGAATGATTCGCCAAGAAATTATTGAGTTATCGCAAAAAAATGTCATCATTTCCTATACTTTTCTATGCGAATTTTGACCTATCCCGGTTTTCGTAAAGAAAACTTTTGCTCTCATAATCAAACAAAACCTCCGCTACAAAATGGTATATAAAACATTAAGAAACAAGAAGGCAAAGTCACCTATTGCAAAGATACTTGAACGGAAATTGCTTCTGTGTTTGTTCACACTGTGATCACTCGAAAATTAAAACACCATCTTCCAATCAGAGAAGCGATACTTCGAGGTTTTATCAAACTTGAACAAAGGTTTTCTGGGACGGAGAACTTAAATCTGAGCTATATTTGTCCCAAAATCCTATTGGTTGAACAGTAACCAATAGAAATCAAATTTTAAGAAAAATGGCTTGCTAGGATGATTTTGATGCCTACACATGCTATGATGACTCACTAGTTTACTTTTTGAAGTACACATAACACTCGGATTTAAATTCAAGGTTTCCACATTTATTATAAATGAAAAGCACTAAGATCTACTTATATTTGCATGACGATCATATGAAAAAGGCTCAATCTTTTGTAAGAAAAAAGACATAAGGGTTTTAGCATCCAAGATCAAAGAAAAAGGGTGGGCCGGGTGTAGGCGTGGATGGGTGTGAGTGTGGGGTGTGGGTTTCATTGCTTCCTTCAACGACACCCGCACTCACGCCCACACCCTTCCAATTCCAGAATTACACGGAATTTCTAGAAATTCCGGAATTGGCGGAACTCGATCGGTGTCGAGTAGGTCTATTATGCCGAATGATGATCGAGTTTTCGGAATTAGATGGAACTGATTCCGCAATATTCAACATTGCGGAATAGGATGACTGCTCAACCGAGTAATATTTACTATCCTTTTCGACAAAATGAGCTGTTGCACCTAAGGAACAAATTTTACGATACTTGTCGCTCCATATATCTGGACTGATACACACACCGTCATGTTTCGCAGCTTCCACCAAACGATCCTTTAGTAATAATTTTTCATGAGCAGCTGACTTTTTAATTTCATTTTTAATTGTTCGATCACAGCTAATAATATCATTAGAAGATATCGCTGTATCAGGACCAAAGTTTCGACCTGAAATAAGAAAACTTTGTGTCGCAATTTCTTTAAATTAAGCAAGTGTCTCTTACCAATTTTTATACATTCGTCGATCACAGCTTTAAAACCGAGATCTTGAACAATTTGAAAAGAGCGCATTGAATGGGCGATCCACCGAGCACAGACTTTCTTCTTTTCTTCTTTTCTTTTAGCAATAGCTTTTGTAACAGAAACTGTGCGTTGGTCAGTTTAACGAGGACTTGCTTTTGATAAAAAATACTGATCAAGAGATGCTTGATTTAATGATAATAATTTTGGACATTTATGAGAATTTATGTGAGTAATGCTTGCATTTACATAACGATAAGTTTCCCGACATTTACAGCAAGATGCAAAACCAGGAACCGCTATAAATTTGTCTTTATTATGTAACTTTTTAGCCGAAAAGCCCATTTCCATTCTCTTCCGACATACCGCTGTGTTACGATCGTATTGTTCCCATACAATCGTAAGACGGAGAATAGATACCCTTTCTAGTACAGTGGTTAATACGTCTGCCCGGTAAGCAGGATGTGCATGGTTCGATTCCATGCGAAGGGGGATTCTTTTTCTCCGTTCTGTCGTCATTCGAAGATAAGAGACATAACACGCTGAGACACGTTTACTTTGATTTGGTATAACTTTATAATTTGCACTATCATTCATCAATAATAATTTAATGAATTCCGGAGTGTAATTTGAAGTCGACTTGATGGCAGGTTCTGAAGATGAAATTTGGATTGACGAATGAGAAATAGAAGAGTTAGATGATGCCATTATGACAATAAGCTAAAGTGAGTAGTTTATAAGAAGAGAAATTTCAATCATCCTAATACATACATATGAAGAAAAGATGACGATGTCTCAATCATTTTAGAAAAATACATTGTTGTCAATTAGACGAGCAGCCGTCCATATTTGCAGCATGAAACAATCGAACAGATAGAAGAAATTTAAAAAAGTTTCTGTGTGTAAGTGACCAATCGTCATGAGTACGCTGTCTGTAATTGTTATGAAGAGAGAACAAAACAATGTAGAATAATCGGTCAAAGGTTGGTCACTCATTGTTAACAACAGATTTTTTAAGAAATAGATGATAGTTCCATTAATACTAGTTCGGTTCGTTTTCGGGCTCTGATTGCCAGCCTGGTACACCGCTTAGTAATGTCATATGATTCCACATCATTTTTAATTCATTTTGAGCGATTTTGGATGATTTAAACCTGTGTTGAAACTAGTTTCAATAAATTTCTATTACGCCTGAAATCAATCGAAATCACGCGAAATCATTTGAAACCAAACTACTAATTGGAAATCACAAAATCACGAAATCAGTCACTTCCCCGTTGAACACGCACACGCACATCCACTCCTACACCCACACCCATACAAATTTCGATTTGCAATACAGTATTACCATTTATGTTACATTGATATTGTAATGATAAACTGGATAGATACATGTGAGAAGGACATCCTGAACAGAGTAGCCAACTGCTACTCTCGTTAAATGATGTTTATCGACTATATGACATCTCTAGATTGAGACTGTTGTACATTCAACACGTCCTTAAATAGAACATAGAGAAAAACAGAGAAGAACAATAAAAAGATGAAGGAGGAGAGAGAGAGAAAATAGAAAGAACAAGGAGCAGTGATATCGATATGAACACATGTGGGTGATTCCACGGGGTTTATACCACTTTTTGGAAGTGGTCTTGGATTTTCATTTTCGTCTTCTAATTCATCCGAAGACAGTCTGAAAAGCATCCAGCAAAAAAAAAATTACGAACTTGTCCAATGAATAGTGAGCACCCGTGGACAACACGAGGTACATGTACAATTTTTTTATAGTGAGATTTTGTTCCANTTTTACGAAAACATATTAATTGATAAAAAGATGACATAAGGAAAAAGGAATTTCTTGTTCGCATAGAAAAAAATTATGTTTGCGCAGCGTGGAAAATTGGTCATACAGAATTTTGCTTTTTTTGAAAACAAAAAGTACAGAATTAAAATAAGATTTACCTTGTAAATTGTAGTTCTTTTCACGCTGCATCTCCTGGTATATTTTGTTTTTTTAAAACAACGTATTAAGTGATGCAAAAATGAAATGGAAAAAGGCCGTTTTTTTTTGTCCGAGAGAGAGTACAGTACAGAGTTCTTTTGTTTAAATTCTTATTTTTTCAGCGGAGAAAAAGGAATCACAAGTTCAATGATTCAAAAACGCATAAAAAATGGATGTTCAATTATATAAGTGTCTGCATATATAATAATAAAAAAGTTTAATTAAAAAAAGGAGGGTGTGGGTGTGGAAGTGGTTATGGCTGCGGCTACTGTTCGTTTTCTCATCCGCTCCTACACCGACCTGCCACACCACAGTCACGGCCACACATAGAGCCACACCCACACCCACACCCACACCCTGAGTTCATTTTAAAAAAAAAACTTCAATTTTTTTGAATCTCTACAAGTAAAAAGAAGATGAATGATGGCATATTACAAATGATACTGACAAACTACATCGGAGGTTAATACACATACACCAACTTATCATTTATCCATGCCGATATTTCTCAAAATTTTATTCTCGATTCTTGTCTAATAGAATTTAAATTAAATGTGGAAACCTCGGATTTAAATTTGAGTGTTATGTGTACTCTAAAAAGTAAACAAGACAGATGAGTCATCATAGCATGTGTAGACATCAAAATTATCTTAGCAAGCCGTTTTTCTTAAAACTTGATTTCTATTCGTTACTGCTCAACCAATAGGATTTCGAGGCAAGTGAAGCTCAGATTCCAGTTCTCCGCACCAGAAAACCTTGGCTTAAATGTGATCAAACCTCGAAGTATTGCTTCTCTGATCGGAAGATGTGGCTTTAATTTTCGATCAATAAGAGCGTGGACAAACACAGAATCAATTTACGTTTAAGTATCGTTCCAATAGGCGACTTAGCCTTCTTGTTTCTTAATGTTTTTTATACCATTTTGCAGCATGTGAAATTTTCTAACGAATAGTATATAATAGCTGAGGTTTTGTTTGATTATAAGAGAAAAAGTTTTTTTACGAAAATTGGAATAAGCCAATGTTCGCATAGAAAAGAACGGGAAATACTGACATTTTTTGTGATAACTCAACAATTTCATGACGAATCATTCTCATCTTCGAACTCAACCGAGATATCGATGAGACGATTCTGTGTGCAAAATTTCATCACAATCGGACTATCTTTTGAAGAGTTATCATGTAAACTGCCGGTCGGACACACTGACCGATTCTATAGTGTACTCACTTTTTGATTACACAAAAAATAGTTCTGGTGTCAGTTATTTGTGAAAAACTAACTGATTTTCGAAAAAACTTCACAAAATCAAAAACATGGAAAAGAATTTGCTTTGTGACAATGTTAAACAAGTACAAACTATACAACAAAATCGAGCTTCTGTGATGTTAAAAATTGGATTTATTTGTAAAAGATCATACCACAAGATCATATTTTCTAAAACTGATTCTATCCCTTTGAAACTCCTATAAATTGGTTCCGAATCCGCTCTCAAAGAACAAAAATCGGCTTTGGTTCAATATCTCTAGACATCACAGATTTATGTTCTGTATTTCAGTGAAAATTATGAAAGTATCATAAGAAGTATCAACAAGTTAACTACGAACTAGTTTGAAACTGGACGTATATTTATATGCCACCTGTTCTTAAGAGGCTATCAATTGATTAGTCGATTTTGAATGTCTGTTCAAATAGTCTTTCTGCAACATTCGAGTTAGTGATGCAACAGGAACGGTAGACTATTGAGACAGGTGGTCCGTCGTTCGAGTTGCATCCCTAATTCGAGCCTTTCTTTTATATCTTTTAGGAGCGCTCTAACCAGGAAGATCATAAATGCTTTTTTTTTCATTTTCCCCTGTTCAACTGGAGAAAACATCTTATAACTTCCGTTATATATGTTAATTATTACTACTATTATCATTGGTGTATTCTAGATACTATTTTTACATTCTGACAAATAAGAACATGACAGATAACAATAATCTGCTGATCGGCAATAATAAAATAGCACCAATAACAAATCCCAAGGAGACTTCTATTCAAATACCCACTAGCAATCGAAGAGCTTGTGGTTTAGATTGGGCTGAATCATCCTGGATACGATGGATTTATGTCATATTTTGGTGGTGGTTAAATCCAATTTTAAATATTGGTTATAAACGTCAATTAACTGAAAATGATTTATTTGATGTATCATCAAATGATGAATGTAGTCATTTATTGAATAAACTTGAAAAAGTATGGGAACAAAATGAAAATAAGTATGAATATATTAATATATGGAAAATAATCGTAAAAACGTTTTGGAAAGAGTGTCTAACAAGCGGTCTAATTTTACTTCCATATCTTGGTACAAAAATAGCTCAACCTCTATTTTTAAAACAAATCATTCTTAATATTAATGATTTAAATGCACCTTCATACGTTGGTTATTTATATGCCATTGGATTAGGACTTGCAACAATTTTTCAATCACTTCTCCATCATCAATTTTTTTTCCGTACAATACGAACTGGAATGCATATACGGATTGGACTCTCGTCTATTATTTATAAAAGATTATTGTCATTGCCATTGACAGCAATTATGAAAACAACTACAGGTCAACTGATAAATTTAATTTCCAACGATGTTAGTAAATTTGAAGAATTAAGCATTACTATGCATTATATATGGGCAGCACCATTGGAAGCAATCGTTGTCTTTGGTTTAATTTGGAATGAAATTGCTATTCCAACCTTATTCGGTTATGGTGTATTGCTACTTTTAGTACCATTGCAACTGTTTTTTAGTAAAAAATTTGCAACATTTAGAAAAGAAACTATACAATGGACCGATAAACGTGTAAAAGTTATCAATGAAATCTTGGTTGGTTGTCAAATTGTTAAAATGTATAGATGGGAAGAAGCATTAGAAGCTCTTGTTTATAATACAAGAAAAAATGAGCTTATGAGTATTCAAAAAGCAAGTCGAATTCGAGCAATTAATACAGGCATGTATTTTTCATCAATATCATTAATTTCGTTAACCACATTTGGTGGAAGTTGGTTGATGGGTCAAACACTATCTCCTGCAACTATATTCACGATTTTATCATTGTTCGGTATGATAAGATACCCATTAACAGCTAATTTACCTTATGCTATTGAAAAATTAAGTGAAAGTACCATAGCTTCAAATCGTATTAATCAATTCATGAATTTATCCAAACAGACTCGTACAAAAGCATTCCAAGAAAAATCTACCAACGATCATGATCATATACCAGGCACTATAATAATGGATAGAGCCTCATTCAC